AGCCTTGAGCTGAAGAGCTGAGGGACAGCACCCAGGCCCAGAGTTCAGGCCCCATGACCGGGCCCCCCCCAAAAAAAAAACCAAAACAAAACATTTTAGGCTGGGTACTGGTGTTTCACGCCTGTAATCCTAGCTACTGAGGAGGCTGAGATCTAAGGATCGCAGTTCAAAGCCAGCCCGGGCAAGAAAGGCTGTGAAACGCTAGTGGTTTATTGGAGAATAAACCACTAGAAAACCAGAAGTGGTCCTATAGCTCAAGTGGTAGAGCGCTAGCCTTGAGCTGAAGAGCTGAGGGACAGCGCTCAGGCCCAAAGTTCAAGCCCCATGACCACCACCAACAACAAAAAACCCCCCCAAAACATTTTATTGTTATTAAGTGTTGTACAGAAGGGTTACCATTCATAAGTCAGGTACTGAGTACATTTCTTTTTGGACAATACAACCCCTTCCTTTGCTTTCCCCCAGTTTTCCCCTCCCATCCCTGCTCACAGGTTAGATAGTTTATTTTTGACATAGTGTCTACTGGGCCCCATGACTTCATGGTGTTCTTTCTCCCTCCACATCTGTGTCCCCGTAGCCCCCCTCAAAAGACAGAAACCCCAGAGTAAAAACAACACCCCTACCACCACTGACATTTCCATTTCCTGGAGGTTTCTACACTTTTGAAAAAAAAATTGAAAAGCTTGTTGAGGAAAACAAGAAGATAGAAAGTGTATAATTAATAACACATTCCAAATCATGCTTAAAATATTTTAAAATCTGAATAGTAATAAATGAAAAGCCTATGGAGTTGTGGGTTTGAAAGTACGTTTCAGTAGGTTTATTGTCTAGTAGAAATGCATAGATGTACACAATGTACTTTAAACAGCCCTTTTTTAAAAAATTATTTTAGGGGTGATAATACAGTGGGGTTACATTTACATGAGTCAGGTAATAATTTCCTCTTGTGCAGTGTTATCTGTTTCCTTATTCTCTCCCGTTCCCTGCCTCCCATCTCTACTCATGAGGTGTACAGCTCAGTTTCATTCATGTTCAGTGTGCTCCGCTGCTGCACTTCCTCATCCTTTTTCCTTGGATTCTTTACCTTCCTTCCACAGATACACACTTGAATACACTGTATAAAAGGTAAAGATACAGAATCATTAGCTAAGCAAAAAACAATTTAGAAAATCCTTTGTTTCCATCTTTGGAGTTCGTTTATTTTATATACACATGAAAAGGCGCGTGGATATTGCACCTTTGTGATTCTCTCAACTTTCCTCTTTCGGTCTCACTGTATATGAGTATCTAGAATCCTGGGTAATTTTTCCCAGCGCATTTTAGATCTGACTTCTGCATATTAGGGAGAACATGTGCTGATTGTCTCTGATCTTGGCTCATGTGTCACTTAACATGATTTGTTCTAGTTCCATCCATTTCCCTGCAAATGACATTATTTTATTCTAGTAGCTAAACAGCCATTCTTAAACTTTAGGTAAAGTTGTGAATGTTATTCTAATAGCACTAGCAAGGAATGAGAAGACAATACATTTTAATTTTTTTCTTTATTAGCATATATTGTAAAATGCATCTCCTTGATATTGTCATACATGTATGTAATGTACTTTTTATAATATTTATTCCATTATCCCATTTGTTTTCATTCCCCCACAATCCTGTTCCTCTCCCCAAATAGTCTCTCCTCTACTTTTTTTTTTGTCAGTCATGGGGCTTGAACTCTGGGCTTGGGTGCTGTCCCTGTGCTCTTCAGCTCAAGGCGAGCGCTCTACCACTTGAGCCACAGCGCTACTTCTGGTTTTCTAGTGGTTTATTGGAGATAAGAGTCTCACGGACTTTCCTGCCTGGGCTGGCTTTGAACCTCAATCCTCAGATCTCAGCCTCCCGAGTAAGCTAGGATTACAGGCGTGAGCCACCAGTGCCCGGCTTGTTTTTAGTTTTTTGAGGAGCCTGCATACTGACTTCCATAGTGGCTACAATAATTTACATTCCCACCAACAGTGTATAAAGATTCCTTTTCCTCAACATTTGAAGAAAATACATTTCACATTTAAATTTATTTATTTACTCATTTATTTTTGGTCGGTTGTGGGACTTGAACTTTGGGTCTGGGCGCTGTCCCTCAGCTCTTCAGCTCAAGACTAGTGCTCTACCACTTGAGCCACAGTGCCACTTCTGGTTTTCTGGTGGTTTATTAGATAAGAGTCTCATGGACTTTCCTGCCTGGGCTGTCTTTGAGTGGTGATCCTCCGAGCTCAGCCTCTGGAGCAGCTAGGATTACAGGCCTGAGCTACCAGTGCTTGGCAGAAAATACACTTCAAATTTTATGAAATAAATAATAGCTTTACTCTAAATGTGAAGGAAATTTGAATTTGGGAAATTTTTTTATGAATTGTGAAGTGCCATTTTTTCATTTTAAGTGTTAAACAAGCATAGTTAAAAAGTATAGTAATTCCTGCATAATGTTAATATTTGAAAATAATTTTTAGCAATTTACATGTAAATGAGGAAATGTGATGTACAAGGACTAAACCAAATAATAGGCTTGAAAATAACCAGTCCTGTCTGTGTGTTACAACAGTGTTGAGCACAGGAGTTTTTAAACAAAGGCACATTTGTCTTCATAGAAATGGCTACAAGGAATATGAGGGGGGAGGTAACAAGTTTGACAAGAAATGTGCTCACTGCCTTACGTATGTAACCCTAACCCTCCGTACATCACCTGACAATAAAAAAAAAAAAAAAGAAATGGCTTCAAGGAGACTTGTCTGCTTGGCTTAGTGATCAAGGTCTTTGACCAGGGTGGAGTTAGGATCTGCACTGAGTCAGTGGTTACACACTCAGTCACAGTTAGGGAAATAACTGGTATACTGTTGCACAATAGAGAATTAGAGATAACGATGTACTTCTTGTTCATTCTAGAAACATTCAAAGAAAAGGATTTTGAAAGCCAGGTGCTGGTGGCTCACGCCTATAATCCTAGCTACTCAGGAGGCTGAGATCTGAGGATCGCGGTTCAAAGCCAGCCCGGGCAGGAGAGACTGTGAGACTCCTATCTCCAAAAAAACCACCAGAAAACCGGAAGTGGTGCTGTAGCTCAAGTGGTAGAGCGCTCGCCTTGAGTTGAAGAGCTGAGGGACAGCGCCCAGGCCCAGAGTTCAAGCCCCACGACCGACCAAAAAACAAAACAAAAAAAAGAAAAGGATGTTGAAAAGTTTTAGCATAGAGAAATGATAAATATTGGAGGAAAAATGATTAACCTAATTTATGTCAATGGATAAGGTGATAGTTTTAAATTACTTTGTTTTTAGGTGTGCTAGTACTTACGTGGAGCTTCCACTTGGGGCCTAGGTGCTGTCTTTTAGTGTTTTTGATCAAGGCTGGTGTTCTCCTACTTGTGTCACACCTCCACTTAAGGCTTTTTGGTAGATAGTTGCGAGATAAGATTCTCATGGGCTTTTCTCCTTGGGCTGGCTTTGAACTTTGATTATCAGATCTCAGCCTCCTGAGTAGCTAGGATTATAGGTGCCAAGTTGATAAATGAAAGGTGATATATATATATATATATATATATATATATGCATGCTTTTTGCCAGTCCTGGGGCTTGAACTCAGGGCCTCGGCACTGTCACTGAGCTTTGACTTGAGTCTAGCCCTCTACCACTTGAGCCAGAGCACCACTCCCAGCTTTTTCTATTTATGTGGTACTGAGGAATTGCACTCAGGGCTTCGTGCGTGCTAGGCGAGCCCTCTATGACTGAGCCACATTCCCAGCCCACCGAAAGGTTTTTGATGAACTGTAGCTACACGATTATCTTTCTAGACTGGTCTGCTATGTCACTTGTGTATGAAAACAGGACTCCTGAAGAAACATGACAATGACTAATATTTCTTTTTGGAAATAGAGACTTTTGTATGACAATATAATTAGTGATTTAAAAAAACACAATCAGAGCCAGGCATTGGTGGCTCTTTCCTCTAATTGTAGTTAACTCAGGAGGCAGAGATAGGAGAATTGAGATTTGAAGCCAGCCCAGGAATGCTGCAAGTCAGTGAGACTCTGATCTCTATGTAACTAACCAAAAGCTGGAAGTGGAGCTGTAGTTTAAGTGGTAGAACACTAGTCTTAGGCTAAAACAGCTCAGGGATAGCACCTACGGTCCTGGAGTTAAGCCCTGGGGGGGGGGGGGAGAGAGAGAAAAAGAGAGAGAGAGACAGAGAATGCGCATGCTCTTATGCCCACCAAAATTTAGTAAAATAATTCGTACTTTTATAGTTATAATATAGAATACTCTATGAAAGCAAGAATTTCCTTTTGTTCATATTGTTAAAAACCTCAGTTCTAGACTCTCAATACATAGTAAAAAATTCATTATCAGCTTGTTAAGAGGGTAGGAAAAAGAAATGTGTTTTTCAATTGATACTTTTTAAGATAATACTTTCTTTTAATTTTTATCACAGATTGAAGAAATGAAAGATGGCAAGATAATAAAAGTAGTTAATTTTTCTTTGACTTTTTTTCCCTAGACGATCTGCTGTCTTGCAAGGCCTCAGATTAAACAGCCATTTTATATCTCTCTGCTGACTCGGAAAGCGTCTCTGTGGAGGGAGCAAAGAAAGGAAAGAATCTGACACTTCCTTCAAATTGACTGTATAAAATACAAGAATAAAACCCCAGTGCAATACCATTGTTATTTTGATTGGACCCTCACCATACTGAGGATCATTGTGGAGCTTCCTGAATTGAGGCCTGGAACGTCTTGGTGCTCATTGCTGCCTGGGACTGTAAGCATGAGTGAATTCTGGTTGTGTTTCAACTGCTGCATCGCGGAGCAGCCTCAGCCTGTGAGTATGATGATGGGAGCTTATTCCACATGGCACAGGTTCTCACTAAATTGGGACCAAGTGGCCTGAACTCTGGCTCTGGGCGCTGTCCCTCAGCTCTTCAGCTCAAGGCGGGCGCTCTACCATTTGAGCCACAGCGCCACTTCTGGCTTTTTTCTTTTTGCTTATGTGGTGCTGAGGAATGGAACCCAGGGCCTCAGGCATGCAAGGCAAGCGCTCTACCA